TTAACATTTTAAGTGTGCTGTGTCGAAGCTAATACGAGCTTCAGCACGTCGTCGTCGGCGTCGGCGTCGACAATATAAAGATGAAAGAGAAAATGTATTAGAAGAAAATATTCTATCGAGACCCAAACCCAGACAAAGATAGAGAAAGCCGAGATGGAGGAAGACGAGAGATGCAGAAAGTGAGTGAGTAGGAGAGAGAGAGAGGGAGAGAGAGAATGGATCAATACCGTGCGATACACGCCGAAGTAATTTCATTGTCCACTGTTAGCGGAGGTTCACGTGTCGCGTGGCACGGCATGGCGTGGCGTGCGCTCCTCTCCCTTCTCCGACCCCCTTTTCCCTACTCCTCAACACCCTTGTTTCTCCATATCTTTCTTTCTTTCTCTCTCTCTCTCTCTCTTTCTCTCTCTCCCTCTCTCTTTTTGCGCCTCCACAAGGGAAAATAGAACCCTTATGGCACGAGTGATAGCCGTACCTCTCTACTCGGGGTATTGATCACCCTCTGCAATCAATGTTAACACTAGTGTTTGCAGATGGTGAAATCGATTATCTAGATAACGTTCAGATAACTGCGAGTCTTGGCTAAACTTATGTATCTCAACTACGTTGTGTCGTTGCTAAACCTTGGCGTCGTTGCTAAACCTTGGCGTCGTTGCTAAACCTTGGCGTCGTTGATGGAACACTGCGGGTGATTAAAATACCGGAAGTTATTACATTAGAATGTACAGTCGGCTGCGATACCGCCTTTCCTTAAACTTTCATCCTAAGTATAGAGAGACAATGCGTCATAGTGAAAGGATAAAGAACGCTTCGATTCGGAGACGCCTGACAAGTGGATCCACGCGGGTAGTCAGCCGCGAAATACGAACTCCCACTTTGTTTCCTTGAGAACGTTTAGCTCGGTTAGGTTTTATCGTAGATAAGGAGAGCTCCAACTCTCACGGACGGATCTTTCACTCTCCTTGGACATCTGGAGCGTTGACTTTCTCTCCTATCGCGACCGTCTTTTTATTATATTTCCTCTATCGACTCGTAATTACATTTAACTAGTTTCTAACTATTCAACAGTTACATGGATTATGAAATTATTCTATTTGGATTGATTCATTTCGCTTGATTAAACGGATAAAAAGGATTCTGTGTTTCCTAGGATTATTTACAAATGCAAATATTCAAGCCGAGATAAGTTAAAAACACTTTGACAACGTTTTCTCTTTCCTACGTCCACTTTACTTTCGAGGACCAAAGCATGTTGCGTTGCGTTGCGTATCACGAAGCTCTGATGACCACCAGCGACGTGATGGTAGCCGTGGCGAGGCTACCAATCAAGAAAAGGCAACACAACAACACAACACAACAGAACGGAATGGAACGGAACGGAATGGAACAAAACGGAACGGAACGGATCAAACAAGAAGACAGGAAGATCGCGGTGCTCTCACGTCTATGCAACCAAGCAATATATATGTTACCGTCAWAGCCGGAAATCAGTCATTGCCAGTAATTCCTCGGTATTACTATGAATGCAAAGAATATAGAATATCAAAGTATTATGTTCGATGCCTAGGAAAAACTGAAAGAATTTTTTAATTTCCGACTTCGTCTGAAGGCTCTTTGCATTCATAGTAGTGCCGAGGAATTACTGGCAATGACTGATTTCCGGCTTTGACGGTAACATATATATGTCGTCATATGTATTTATGTATGCATGTATATGTTAATGCACGTATCCATGCATCCATGTATTTACGCGGGTAACGCTTATGCGCCCGTCTGCCTACAAATCGTGCGTTTCTGCATTACACACTGATTTCTAAGCGGCTTCTACGATGAGACCTACCCCCGCCGTTCGAGGCCTCCAAAACGACGACAATAATGGCGGCGAGTCACGGAAAAAGAATCCTTACGGATTACTTTAAACGTACATCACCGTTGTCTGCCTGACTCACGAGTATGTCGACGCCACTGTTATCATTGTCGACGCTGTTGCTGCAGATGAGCTTCCAGAAGAAGCATAATAATACTCATTATCTATGCTTTTAGATATGCATGTAAAATTATAATACGCAAATAGTATTGCCTGTAACATCATTTTTATTATGTTATGAGTTCTACCAATCAAGTTTATCAATAGGAAAATCCTTCAAGGATTTCAACCTTATCGTCAAAATACTCCTGAAACAAGAACGAGCCAGTTATTTCCATAAGCCAGAGAAGTGTCCTTTCTTCGTTGGATTCTCTCCGATCGTTTTATCTCTCACTTTCTTTCGTTTCCCCTTGGCACCAGCAGTGAAGGAGCAAGGAGGGAGCCGGGAGGGAGCGGAGAGGGCACACAGTGGAATTCGAGCCCGCGGATCTCAAAGATGCTTTCTTCTTCTCCTCCATCGACTGGCACGCTCCCCACTTTGGTTATGCGCTGTAGGATACTCACGGAGGCGCCCAGATAGAAATAATACATTATTTAAATACTGTGGCGACTACGTTGCGTGACCTTCTCATCGACGTCGCGCCTGATCCCCTCTCCTTTAACCTCTTCCTTCCCCTCTTGTCGGATTCCCTTTTCTCTCCCCACTGTTGCCACCTCCGCGATCCACCCCTACGCAAGCCTTCCCTTGCGCGCGCGCACACACACACACACTCCTTTACCCTTTCATTTCTCTCCTCTCTCTCTCTCTCTCTCTCACACACACACACTCGTTCCACGTCTACCTAGCCACCTCCTTAGGAACCTAGCATAGTTTGATCGTGCACAATGCACACAGGGTGGCTCGCAAGGACGAGAAATTAAAGAAGCTTCCTTAAAGCCGTTACCTGCGTTCCTACCTAAGCGTTCGATTGCGCACTTCTGCTTTAGGAAACAAGGGCCAAACTTTTACTGGGTTTTCTCACACACGCATACAAATTGTATACGCACAAAATTGCTCTGTGAGAATACTGGGTCTTTGGGGGGATAGAGAAAGGATGCTTGGGATTTCCTTTGTCCAAGAAACCGTTTTTCTCGATCAAAAGGACAGCCCCGCGATCGCCCTACCGGCCCAGCTCCTTGTAACCTCCGAGTAAAAAGCTTTTACACGGAACGCAAGACACGAGGCGTCCTCAGGATCCCTCGAGGTTTCTTCTTCTTCTTCTTCTTCTTCTTCTTCTTCTTCTTTTCTTTTAACGATTCGACGAGTTCGTTCGCGCTTGAGCACGTACTCTTGACCTCATCGAAAGGTGATTGAGGGGGGTGTCCGTGTAATGCGTAAATGTGGAAATGTAATTAAATAAATAAGATAAGATATTCCCTTACATGCAAGGGATCTCTTTTCGAAAGGAAGAAAACAGTGAGAGTGTACGGAACGAAAGATCTGATTTATTCCGGTGTATGATCATGATCATTTTTTCAAAAATGTCCGCGCTTATTCGCGAAGTATATAGATTGAGTCCGGTAATAATCTTGTGCTTGACAGGAGCGCTCGGATGTTATTAACCAATTACTTTTTTAGCATCTTGCAAGGTAGACCATTGCAAACAGTGAACGTCTTAACGACCACTTTTTGCACGATTCAAGCGCAAAGATCATAACAGGGCAACGTGTTCTCTTTTCTTCTTCCGGTATTTCAAGTCGCATTTTCCCGCCACGGAAAATAAGCGTATCGTAACGTTTTCTGCATCTCTCCCTAGGTAGCAGCACCTCCAACGCAGAAATTTTCAAACTCAAGATATAATTTGGTTCTTTTTGTTAATCTTTTATTTTCTTTTTCAAAAGCAATGCAATTATCCTTTCCGGCCAAAGGACAACTTCTTTCAATAACCATTTTGTCCCGAGTATCAGTATGCATTTAAAATTATTTGCAAATTTATGTACGCAAACTAATAAGATCGTTAAGATACAATAAGCGCGTCGTCGATAGCTTTTAAGGTAACATAGAAGCTGGCATATCTTGGAGAACGATCTCTAAGGTGAAGAAAAGGACCACCCGGTAGGCGGGACGGCGTCGATCAATCCGGGACACCCGCTAGAGAGATCACAAGTATACGAGTCGAGCTGCTCGTAGTACTCTCTCAGTACTCGTGTTGCTGCGCCTCTCCTCATGCCCCTTCAAACAGCAAGACTCACTCTTTCTCGCTCTTGCTTTTTCTCTTTCTCTCTTACTTGCTTGGCTCGTGAATCCTTGCTCCTACCTTCTTCCTACTCTTCCACCCTACATGAAAGAGCTAGTGTACAACAGACAGAAACAGAGAGAACGAAAAAGAGAACGAAAGAGACAACTATATGGAGGCGCTGCCGTTGCAGCTTCCTTCCCCCTTCGCATGAAGCGCCACCATGATCAAGGCCCGAACTGGCTTCGTCCCCGCGCGTCAGCGACGTTGCCAAGTGTCCTCGACCATCTGTAACGCTTCTTCTTCTCTTCCTTTTCTGACAGTACTTCCACCACCACCACCACCGCCACCATCATTTTTTCTTCTTCTTCCTTTTCTTCTTCTTCTTCTTAACCGCCCTTTATTGCTTTAATATTCGATACTGTCTTGTGATCGCAATGTATTACCTCGCGTAGGTGTAAACTCGTTTTCTTCGCGCCTTCATTCAATTTTTCTTCCTCTCTTTTTTTTTTTACACTGTTATGCTGATTCTTTAATTCACATTAAGTACTAATGTGAGAATTTTAAACACACGCCATATCGAGACCCGACCAATGAGCTGCGCGCTCTTCGCGGGCCGGAAATCTTTTCAACTTTTAGGCGCGCTTTGCTACTTTCCCCCTACTTCCTGTTTTTTCTTGATTGTTGCGTGTCAAATTAAACGCAATACTACACTTCTTTAGAAATTTATCTTTCGAATAGTTTTAGGAAAAGGGAGAATGACGAAGATAAAAATATATATATATATATATATATATATATATATATTTTTCTTCTTTCAGTTTCTTTTTGTTGTTCTTTCATTGTTGTTGAAGATAATCTGGTAGAGNTATATATATATATATATATATATATATATTTTTCTTCTTTCAGTTTCTTTTTGTTGTTCTTTCATTGTTGTTGAAGATAATCTGGTAGAGCTAATGTAAACAGATAAATACATTCTGTGATGCACACATGTATACGTATATATGGGATAGGTGCACAGTCATGGGTTAACTATGTATAGCCGAGTAATAGAGTTTGCCGAGTAGACATGCGCCCTTCTTGGACCAAGGTGCCGGCCTTGCCCCATATTTCTTCGAAATGGCCGCGCAGAGAGTGGAGTGACGTTCGATATCTTAAAAGTAGACGACGACGTCGTCAGAAAGTTGACGGTGTCGAAGAAGCCTCGACGACGACAGAGCCGACGACGACAGGGCCGACGACGACAGGGCCGACGACGACAGGGCCGACGACGCCGATGACACTACGTTCCTCTCTCTTTCTGTTCTTTCGAGAGAGGTGAAGAGAAAGTGCATCAAGACGCACTGGTCTATACAAAGACAGAGTTGATTACGAGATTATATTCGTAATAACTCTTTTCGCGAATGGATTCTACAGATTTGTACATTACACGTATCTAATAATAAAAATGATACTATCATAACATAATTAATTATGTCCATGTCGCATAAAACTTCTTACGAGATAATAAATCGGACTATATATAGCGACCGTTTTTATCAGTAACATGTAATGTATTTATATTAATTATTTATTAGGATCAACAAATTAATGAGAAATAATGATCGTTTCGGTATGGCGTAACTGTAGCATTGATTTGTGTATTATTTCAGAGAGCGATGATGCTCGGTGCGTGAAGTACTATTGATTCGGCCTGCAGACAGAATAGGCAGGCATCCATATTCGATTTTCAAGCGTGCCCAACTACATTGTCATTTAGTGACGTATACGAATAAATCTTCAGTTCGAGATACTGCATCGTATGTTCGCATTATGTTCCAAATCATGAAATATATTCTGTGTAGAAAAAAGAAAAGAGAGTCAATAAATTAAAAAGAAATAATTAATTGTATTTTTTGTTTATATATAAAACAAATGATGCCGAAGAATATAAGATAAATGAATCGTCATCGAAAGTGGTTCATAGCCATTACTAGAAGGGTGGATCACTCGGTAGGTAGTAGTAGCGAGTAGTGACTGTGGGTGACTACGAATAGCCGAGGCGAGAGCGTTGACCAGATGTGCGGATAGTCCGGAGAGCGTGCCACGAACGAACGGATAAAGTGGTAGAGTACAGTCGGATAGTATTCGGTCGGTCGTCCGTCCGTCCGTCCATTATACCCTGCTGCTATAAGCTTCCCAAGCGTCCTTCTTCTTCTTCATTGTTTGGCGCGTAGAGGAAGGCACGCGTGCGCGCCTTTCCTTGCCTTCCTTTACCAAGCCTTGCCGGTAGTAAAGCATACAGCTGTCGACGTCACGAGAAGCCAACAGCAGCAGACAGAGATAAGACAAGGAACATAGAAAACAAAAATGATTTTACCCTAACGAATATACTCTTTCTCGCACACAAACATGTGATATTAATTATTTATTAGAGAAGAAAGGATTCTAACATATTTCATATATTTATGATTAACAGAGAAAATATGACAAATAAAGATTTGCTTCAAATAAACGTACTTTCTTTGCATTTCCGCAAAGTGTCACGAATTAACAAATCAACAATGGCGTACTCCATTATCGTATGCACATCAATAAAGTAATTATTTGTGCAATTTGCAATAATAATGTAATTACTTAATTTCTAATGTTCGTATCGATACACTGTTTATAGGCATTGGAGTAGCAAGATATTATTGTCAACTTTCTAAACTAAACTAAAACTTTCGGAAGAAAGAAAGGGAAAATGTGGTTTTCCAATAAGGTTTAGAAAAGTTTAAACACGTCTATCAACGACGTTGATGCAGCTGAAAAGGTCACTTTGTCAGAACTGCAGACCTAACGTCAATAATCTTATTGTTTGTTATTTAGTTATACGAACGCAGGTAGAAAATAGTTTAAATGCCGTCAAGGAATGGATCTTTTCTTTCTTTTCTTTTTCTTCTTTTTTTTATTTTTTCGTTCTTTCTCGTTTTCCCGCTTCTTCGTGTAAGGAGGCTCTGCTAATTTAGGAATCCGAGTGTTAAGGCCCGATAATTTAGGGTACCCATCGAACAGTTAACATACAAGATGTTTCTGAAAATACTCTACACCCACTGTTGGAAATGTTTTCCTATTTAAGGGCTCCTGTGGTGAAAACAGGGATACATTTTCAAGTAACAAGAATGAATCTTGTCGAGAGAGATGCTTCTTCTCCTCCCCTTATTCCTAGCGGTCATGCTATTTAAGGGATTTTTCAAAGAGAGCATAAAGATGACTGAACGATGCCTTCCGAGGAAGCTGAGAATGGAAAAAAGCGCGTTTGTTAATTATTAACTTTTCCTAGCATCTTCAAAAATATAATTGTCAATTATGTTCTTCGTTATTTCCGATACCGAAGTCATGATTAAACAGTCAAATTTCTTGTCTTGTCTTCTTTAAAAGTGTTAAATGGAGAAGAAAGATTATTTTTAGTCTCGACGAATAAATTCTATAATGTACACAGCACACACATACAGAAAACTACGGTAAAAGCGTCGGTAGCTGCGCGCTGTTCAAGGAAAAAGAAAAAAGCAATTCCGGCCGTCACCTTCCGTTAAGACATTCTCGTCTCAGAATAACAGAAGGCTTGGTATAAACACCGTAAAACTTGAGGAAAAAAGCTTCGGCACGCTCGGGTACCACGAAAGGAGAGCGCGCCTTCGAAAAAAGAAAGAAAGATGGTTGGATTGAGAGACGACGATGACGATGATTCGCGAATCTCTGCAAGGTGCAGGTTTACCAGCATGCATAGTTAGTTACACGCGATGTGTACTTAAGCGAGTAAGGAAGAAAAATAAAAGTTATAAGATAAGAGACAGATAGGGACGATTCCTCTTCATGAGTATATCATAGCATAGTCATTGCCGCAACAAGTAGGAAATATACTTTCAGGCCTAACGGGATAATGTCGCCGTAGTGACCTGGCCAGTCTATTATTTTCTTTGCTTTAGGACTATAATGTATCAGTTACTCGACTCAATTCAATTTCCTTTGTTTTTCCTCTATGTAATATTATTCTATGAATGATCTTTTCGATGGCATCCAAATTTAACAATTCTTTGTTATCCGGGTTCATACAAATATTGGATTCCAATATACGATATATAATACAAAGACTATAATACCAAAATTATAGAATATTTTATAGAAGAGGCTCGAAAATTCAATTGCCAATTGGAATCCATTCTGTCAATCCCAAACAAAGGTAGGTCGAGGTATAAGAAACGCACCTGTATTTACGGCCGTTCTGAAATGGAGCCTCGCGACATGGATTAATAGGCAGAAAGAGTAATCGGCTCAATGGCCATGCTGGAAGCATGATCGTATTTGCGTTATTATTAGATATACGCCATGAGACTTTACCCTCTCCTTCACCTACTCCACCTCTTGCTTCTCCTCCTTCTTCTTCTCATCATCATCATCATCATCATCATCATCATCATCGAATCTCCATTGCTCTCTTTTTCTCTTTTCCTTTTCTTTTCAATCCCGAGACTCGTTTATAGCGCAAGGCCACGCGCTCACGTTGCTCGTGAACGAACCCTTACTTCTCCTTATGTGTTTGAGGCTTTCAACGCACCACTTCCTCTTCCCTCTGTCTTCTCTACGCGTTGAACCATCTTAAATAGCATTCCTGATTCGTGACGTGGATCTTCCAGCAACTACCACATCCAAAGTAAAGATTTTTGTTGTACCTTTGACAGCTCTAAAGCAGCATCATCTTCTACCCATCATCTCCCACCCATCATCTCCCACCCATCATCCTTCACCCATCGCCTCCTTCTCCTCCTCTTCTTCTCTCGCATTTATCTTGTTAGTTCCTTTTTTTTCGACACCCTAGGCGCCACAATGTTATTACTAATTTTAGCAATAACCACGTGTTCCTCGTTACCACCGAATACAATTGGTATAAACGACTCCTTCACGAATTCCCTGAAGGAACACGTAATAATAACAATTTTCAAAACTTTCGTATCAATCTTTTGCTCCAAAAATCGAACAATTCTTTATCGAATTGATGCCCGAGCGTACTGCAAAAGTCTGTCAACGGACTCTTTTCCGAACAAATAAATAAAAGCGTGCAAGTGAGAGAGAGAAAGAAAGAGAGAGAGAGAGAGAGAGAGAGAGAGAGAGAAGGGAAGAAGAAAAAGGAGCAAATAAAAAAAGGCGGGTGCCCGATGGAAAATAAATTTTGCTATCGGTCTTTCGAAAAACAAAAAAAAAGATCGAAAAAAAAGATGAAACGAAAAAGATAGAAAAAAAAAAAAAAAAGATAATACGTCGCCGGCAGCTAGTTCGCGTCCCCGGTTTTCCGATTTATCGATCGTAATTGTTTCACGTGCAGGTCCGATGGACAGCCGAAAATAATATTGACCCTTCTACGCAGGCGCCTATATGACACACTGCATGGACAATGCACGCGCTATGAGGTAGACGAAAAAAATGTGTCTATGCATGTGTATGCGTCCTTGCATATATATATCTATGCCGTGTACAGAGTGGTGAATTGCATTATTTGCTTGGTATTACTTATTCTCGAAAATTTGCATAGTCCAATGTAAAACAAAATAAAACTTGTATATCCTATTTTACATTGTTCGTACTATTGCATTATCTTATTAATTAAATTTCTTTCTTTTTCTCTCCTCTATCACTCCTTTCTCATATTTTATTTTGATGCTGTTGCAGTTTATCCGGGAGATGTGTACGCACAGGTATGCCAAATATTCTCACGATGATAAGTATAGATGGTAACTAATTATACGAAGGACATGTGTTTTCCGAGTGGTCGATGAAAACACATAGACACGTACATGCATAAACACTTGACGCCTCTCGTCGTCGTTAAAATCGCTTCAACGAGGAGCGATCGTTAAATTCACACATCGCTTCTTATTCGACAACTTCGTTAATGAGCATTCTTTCAGGTTGACGATGAAAATTCTAGCCGATTGTATCGTTAGATCAACAAATCCCACCTAGGTAAAATCAATCCGCTAAAATGCGATGGATGACGGATTAGAATATTACGAGAGATGATTTACTAAAATTGAATGTGATGTAAAAATTAGGATATTAAAGATATAAGGACATGTAGGTGGTGGTGGTGATCGTGTGCGCTCGCGCATTTCAACACTAATAGAATAAGCATTTTATCGACTGAGTCCGTTTGTTCGTTCGTTGATTGTTGAGACAGTGTCATGACATTAATCTAATCTGATTTAATCTAATGGACCCTAACAGCGGACTGGGTGTGCGTACACGAGATGAGACGCGGAAGGAAGTTTGTATACATAGTTTATCGAGGATCGGCTTCTTCTTTTTCTTCTTCCTCCTCTTACTTTAGTCGGGCCGGCGATCTGTGTGCACTGGCAAGTTAATTCGACGATGAACACCTTCGTCGATGACCGTGACGCGTTCAAATTAATACGGTCCGATGAATAATTCATCGCGATCTCCGTCTCTTATCGATCGGCGATAATGAAAAACACGGTGCCGGTTCGGTCCGGTGGGGCAGTATCCCCACGTTTCGAACGGCTCGCGCCAATCATGCTGCCACGCAGTGCTGTAAAAACTGACAATGATGCCACGGGTCAGGCAACCGGGCCAATAATACCAATAATAATCGCATGGATTGATTAAAAGTAGAACGACGGTCTTCTCTTATAACCATCCTCTACCTATTACTACCTACTGTTTATGAATAATCTATGGTTATACAATACATGTATTGCATTGTATGTAATAAATAATCTAAACAAGCGCAACGCCTACGATGCGATCGATGGGATCGACATTTTTAATGAGCGACGACATCGTTACTGCTTCTCCCACCGGCGATAAATGAAGAATCATTAAGCGGTGCACAGTGTTTTAACATATATAACAATCTTATATTTATATCGGGACATCCTCGGGATTTAGGAAAAGGACGAATATTCAACTTTTGCAAAGTGTTATTTAAATTGTCAATATTCAAATCCAATATTAATGCTATTATTCATTGGATTATTTCAATGTTAATTATATACGACAAATAAAAACAACCACAGTCCAGGATGAAAAGGGTTACATATTATATATTTTATTCCGATGGCTTGGTTCTTAGACTTACGATATCACGAAATTCATCAACTATGATGTACCAGAGTCAGTTTCTCTTTTCCTGTTCAGAAGCTAACGTTCATCTCATTAACGACCTTCGATAAACCGGATCCCTGGTTTACCGGCTATAAAAAATATAGACGTAAAGTCGTCGAGGGCGACCGGTGATACGATGGAAGGCGATTGAGTGGAAGAAAAAGGTGAAAAGAAAGAAGGAACTAAAGAAAGACAAAAAGGACTAAAGCGTGGAATAGCCTGGAGAAAATAAAAAGACAGGTAGGTGAAGAAGACGAAGAAGAAGAMGAAGAAGAAGACGAAGAAGAAGACGAAGAAGAAGACGAAGAAGAAGACGAAGAAGAAGACGAAGAAGAAGACGAAGACGAAGATGAAGAAGACGAAAACGAAGAAGTAGAAGAAGAAGAAGATGAAGAAGAAGAAAAGAAAGAAGATTGGAAATCTTCCAGTCACGTACGAGTGGATTTCTCCGATGCACCAACTCTCTGAGTCCGCCACACTGATTGCCACTGCGACGGAGAATAGCGATAAATGTGTATGCGAATGGGCGAGCGAATGGGCGAGCGAATGAGCGAGCGAATGGGCGAGCATTTACTTACGTTCTATCCGATCTGACCATTCTTTTTTTATGTTTTTCTCCCTCTTTCTTCCATTTATTTTATACAAAATGACTGGCTGTGTGCGTGTACGTATATGTGTACGCGAAAAAACAGTAGAGTATGGGAATATACATGCATAAGCGGTTTGGTAACACGGTTGGTGCAAAGCCCGGAACAGCCTGTTGGCCAACAACGGCTGTAAGCGGTCGGGTGCGCTTGCGCCTTACAATCCGTGACACTTAAAATATATATGTACACGTATACATACGTATGAATGTATATAATCATGCTAAGAGAAAGAGAGAAAGGGTGAGATGTTTAAGTGAAAAGGGTAAAAGGATTGGAAATAATGAACCACTTGCAAACATCCCAATCGGAATTGGGTATCATTGAGACAATTAATGGGATCGAAAAATCAAAGAAATCATCATTCCCTATTAGGAACTAACAATTAGGTGGTTATTTTGAAGTAAAACGAGAGTTTAATCGTGAAAAGTGTACTCGTAAGTTGAATCGGAGTGTGAAAGGGGTCGCTAATAGACACGTATAGCCTGTCCATGTTGAGAACACGTTCACACGAGTATTTCACGTACGATTATCCTTGTATGCGGGTCTTGATCGAGGACACGCGCGACCTCTCGTTGCCGATCAACCTCTATTATGGCGGTATACATGGCTCTTATCACAGAGTTTGTATTTGTTTGCTAGATCAATAATGGTATTAATCATTATTTTAAAATAACTCAAATCATCCTATTGTTATAATAATTTTGAGTTTTATCGATCATTGATTATATTTCGTGAGCAGAATTTTTAATACAACTAATACACATTATACGATGTTATATTGCAATCGAACAAAGGTGGAATATATACCAGGGATCTCTACATATTGGTATTTGATTAGTGTATATCTGGAGATAAATGTTAAAGATCGAGGATAATCTTTCTTCTTAGGAAAATAAGTTGAAAGGATGAAAGATCCATCGAGAAACATTTCTTGCTGTCTTATTGCATGGAAAAGCAAGCAAGCAAGCAAGCAAGCAAGCAAGCAAGCAAGCAAGCAAGCAAGCAAGCAAGCAAGCAAGTAAGTAAGTAAGCGAGGGTTTAACATTCACGAAAGATCATATGCAAAATTAGCGCGAGTAAAGAGCCATGCCGAGGAGCCGTCAACGGACGAAATGATGGATCGTCTCTAGAAAGTAAGCAGCACGTGCGTATCACGCAATCGTATCGAGTCTACGAAAGTCCGACTCTACATACATCTGTAGTCCTCTATGTGTACACATAGAATGTACAGTAAAGAAGACATGGTGCACAGAACATTTGCCGTTTCACTTTAAGAAACGAAACGCGGGAGTTTTATCAGAGAGTTGCACTTATACAGTAGGAAGGAATAAGTATATACAACATACACAAATCTATGAACATAGATTTAAATGACATAGATTTCGTTTGATGCAACTTGTAACCATTAAGAGTACCGATTATATTTCTCTAGTACCAAATCTTCTTCTTGACGATACATCACAAAGCTATCGTTCCTTTGAGAGAGTTCCATCAAAATATATGTACATATTGCATAGATATTACATAATATCTACCTACTGATCATGAACATCTATAATATGCATTAAAACACATACACATCATCATCTTACATATGAACTCACTTGCATGCTCATACATGTATTATATATATATATATATATATATACTATAGATATGTACATAGAAAACAGAGACAGGGACGCGAGTGGAACATCAGGGTGAGTACCTTTGTCCTCCTCTAGCGTGTCGGTGGAGGAACGGGGTGTAGGAACCCTATTGATCTCCTCACAGAGGCTCGAGCCAGTAGCAGAGAGTTCGAAGAGAGAGAGAGAGAGAGAGAGAGAGATAGAATGAGTGGGTGAGGGTGGGTGAGGGTGAGTGGGAGGCAGGCATAGGATGGAGCAAGCGCGTAAGAGAGAAAGAGAGAGAGAGAAATATATCGATGCAAGTGAGAGAAGCAAAAGCATCGACGGAGCTCAGCTGCGCTGCGCCACGAGAGGGTGGTCGCGTTGTCATGCGCTGACTTGACACGTCATTAATGTATTACAGGATAATGCCAACAAACCGATATCCACCCGCTAATACGACCACCTCCAGCTCTTCTTCATCCTATTCCACTACCACCTCCAGCTCCTCCTCATTCTCATCCTTCATACCTGTGTATATATGTACGCAGCTGTTATTCGAATTCCACTGGTCATTGAACGTTCTAAATCATTCGGCTTTGCATTCACCGTGTCCGATTTGAATCATTGCGAAAAGATCGAAACGTAAATTGGTATGTATATATGTCCTTTGTAATATATAGTGCATTCTTCATGTGTCAGAAACATGTATAGCTACATCATGATACATAGTATACTTTACATTACTATATGATCAAACGATTAATTGGCCATGTGAGCCGAATGTACTATAAAACACTCCTCCGAGCGTTTTCCTCTTTCGAGGGAATCAGCCTAAAGTTTATTCGCGTCAATCAAATAACAAATTTAAACTTTACGAACACGATTTGTTACGCGTGTTGATTCCTTCTGTATTTATATCTGATTTCGTTAAAGTAAAGATCATTAAAATCTTCGAGGAGATTCTTCAGGCGATCGATAAGAAATCGAATGATTAATCTTTGAGAGATGGTGACCGGTGTCGGCAAGATAAAATAACAGAAAAGAACGAGAAAATAAGAGAACGAACGAGTCGGCGATTCGACTTTCGATCAAGCTGAGGCTGCGGTGGGGCCCGTGGTTTTGTGGAACAGTCTGTGCAACGACCGGTGCAACCGCGAGCACACTTTCTTCTTGCTCCCGTACGCGGGAGCCGCACGTGTGTACACGTGGGTTTGGCGGTTTTAACAGCCGCACGCGCGGCTCTCACAAAATTTCACCGGATCTCTCTCTCTCTCTCTCTCTCTCTCTGTCTTTCTCTCTCTCTCTCTCTCTCTCTCTCTCTCTCTCTCTCTTCCTCTCTCTGTCGACATTATTCTCTCTGCTTATCTATATTGCATTTGTCTATAGATAAGACCATTTACGAATAATTCATATGACCTGACACTTTATTCACCCAGAGATATTCAAATATTTCTTCCCATAAAAATAACCTATATTATATTTTTATAAAAAATGAATCGTATGCTCGAGTTTCGGTTATTATAACAGTGTTACGATGCGGGTGCAAGTGGAGAAGAGTGTCACGACAGAGTAGCCACCTGTTTTTGGTTTGCGCGCGGCAAGCAGAAATAAAGTGAAAGAAGCGCGAAAATGTGGCGCGTGTGTCTGCCGTCTTTCATCTCCTTTCTTCTCTTTACATGCGTCCTGCTACTTGGTTGGTTGGTTGGTTGGTTGCTTGCTTGCTTGCTTTCGGTCGTGGAGAACGAGTAAGGTGGTCATAATAGTTGCCGGCACCTGTCTCGGGGTTCGGCCATCTGAGATCGAGACTGACGCAGCCGCCGAAAGAAGAAAGAAGAAGAAACAAAAAAGGAAAAAAGAAGAAGGAATGATAAGAAAGAGGAAAAAGAGAGAAGAAGATCGAAGTTGGGAACTGCCGACAGACAAGGACGAGTAAGGTAAGGCCAGTGCGTTGAGAAGAGAGTCCGTGAACATAGGAACACTGGTGGGGATAGTAAAAAGAGAAAGAGTGATAAAGGGTGGAGGTGGGGATGAGCTTTGTAGAGTAGTCGCGTTGGTGCGAAAGAGCCTGCGCGTGCCACCGTTACGCTGGCACCTGCCACAAAACTTGGCTCTACCTTTTGGTGCACACATACACACACACACACACACAACGAGAGAGAGAAAGGAAAACAGACACTCGCACATTCTCATCCTCCCACTACTCCTTCCAACCCCACCAACATCAACCCGACGGCGAACATCTTGCCTTAAATCGTCCAAGGAACGCTACCACATTTTCCGGCTTCTCCTTGATAATTTAAAGATTAACATCTTATATATATCTGACATAATAAAGTATTGATCTATGATTAATGTAATCGATAATAAATCTAAATTATTTTATAGTTATGTGTAATCATAAAAAATGTAACAAATAATATTTGTATCGGCAACGATAAACTTTCAAACTAAAAGAGTAGAAAAGAAATAATCAGTAGTTTGCAAACTGAAGGATTAAATTCGTTAAACAGAGAGATGAGCCGATGATACCGAACGTAGTCTAAAATTTGATGACGATCGTAGGGAAAGGTAACCAACAATATATAAATTCCATAGATAGATAGATAGATAGATAGACAAAAGGAAAAAAGAAATAATATAAAGTTAGGCTTTGTCGTGTCGAGGTGGAGAAGTAACACAGTAGTAGCTAGCGGAAATTTCAATTAACTTTATGAAGGCCGCGATGTAAATTGCGTAGGGGTCAACGGCGTGTCGGCAGGGAGCAGAGTAGGATAGCAAGGGTGTCACCGCTAGCGCCGTTACTACGTTGGGCTTTGATGGGATAGTGTGGTGGTGTGGTGGTGTGGTGTAGAGGGATCTTGCTGGTGGAATAGGTGGTGGCGAGTCAGGGGGTTGCTCGGAGGTGTAGGCACGGTCCACGGCCCCGGTGGGCATAGGGCGCGGGGGGCAGAGGGTCGTCGGTCGGATGAGTATTGATCAGCCAGGCGGCCAACAAGACGCCTTTGCAGGATACCTACTATACCCACTGCCACCCTACATAAACTACTACCACCTCCACCCCCATCCTCCCTTACTTTGCCGCTCACCATCTCCTTTTCTTCCTGCGAAGATCGAGAGGGGTTGAAGTGGAGAGAATCAGGGGGAAAGATGAGAGAAAGAGAAAGAGAGCGAGACAGGAACTGGATTGAGAGGGTCGCCGAAGAACAAGCGAGAAGGAGAAAGAGGGGTGGAGAGAGAGAGAAGAGACTGAGTTGACGCTAACGGAGAGACGGCCAACAAGACGCCTTTGTAGAATACCCAACAACCATACGCACTACTACCACCTACTAAGGTACCGCGTCTTTTCGTTTCCAGTGCGAAGATGGGGAAAGGTAAAGGGGAGAGAGAGAGAGGGAGTAAGGATATAACAAGGAAAGAAACTACTTGAAGGAAAAGGTAGTAGTAGGAATAACCACCACCATCACAGCTACCCTCTAACACTTGGAAGACTCGGAGAGACTCGTGCTGGCGACCGACAACCAGACGCCCTCGTAAGATATCTACTATACCAACCACCAACCACGACCCACCACCACCATCACCACTACTACCATCTCAACTACTCTTACCCTTTTCCTCACATGGAATGGAAGAAGGAGCGACGAAAACGAACGAATATATCGGACGAAAAGATACAGATGGAAGAAGAGGTTGGGTAAGAGGTGTAGGTAGGCATAGCGTATATAGACATCTGAATAGACAGGGAGGGTAAACTCGTTGGTGAAAAAGGGATGAACGGAGACGAATATATACATAGGATAGAGAGAGAGAGAGAGAGAGAGAGAGAGAGAGAGAGAGAGAGAGAGAGGGAGAGAGAGAGAGTAAGATTGTATGTGTATGACTGTCTGTCTGTTCTCTGTGTGTGTATGTGTGTGTGTAGGCGAAAGAAAGAGAGACAGTTCACGTCGACGCCACTGCTGCGACATAGTGCCCCCAATAGCGATATATATCCACCCGTTCTAACCAACCCTATGCTTCTGCCACCCACACGTTTCTATCCCTTACCATTTCCAACCGTTCCTACTCTTCCTCTTTATCTATCTTTCTGTTTCTCTATCTTTTTATCCATCTCTTTCTGGTTCCTTTCCATCGAATCCCTCTCTCCTGGCACCTTCATCGAGGGAATTTCTCCGTTCTAACCCCATCCCCTCATTCCCTTTCCCTTTCCCTTTCCCTTTCTCCTCTCTTTCTCTCTTCCTTATTCTCCTTCCTCATTCTCCTTCCTCTGTCTCTCATTTACCGATGGCATCACAAATGCGTTTTTGCCTCCGCTGTTCCGCAATGCTCGGACTGTGACTCGAATAAGAGAACGTTGTGCGAGGGACAGGGACGAATGCGTACTGAACGACTTTCGGTAACACTTTGTCGAGCGAGTCTATATGAATACATATGTATGTGCATACGCGTTTCTATGTATATATATAATACATATACATATCTATGCATATCTATATAGCATCGTGAACTTCTCCGTAGACTCTCCGCGTAGATCGGCACGATCGCGCATGTGTAGAGATCTCGAATACTCGTCAGTTGTCCCCATTCATCGATTGGGCTCTTGATATCGGCCAGGATTATTGACGTTTAGATCGCACCATCAAACCCCTACCTGATATCGGAGGATATAGAATTCAAAAAATATATCTATTCGGGTATTCTTTGGAATCGATGTTAACGGATTAATTAAATGGGATTTTTGATAAATCTTTGAAGATCCAGACAAAACATTGATTTGTTCTGTTAATAGTAAGCATAATTTGGAACGAATAATTTGGAACGAATAATTTGGAACGAATAATTTGGAACGAATAATTTTCTTCAAAAAGAAGTAATTCGACTCTATAAAGAAAGAACGAGTTTTTTTTTTGTTTAAACGAGACACCTTCGACTTAAGCGAGTGCAATTGGTAGGTTTCGCGGTGTATCGCCAGCTGGCTTGACGCGTCTCCTTTAGGCAACAACACCCTGGTAAGAATGAGAAAAAGAAAGAAATAAAAAGAGATGAAGGGAAGGGGCATGTTGTCCACGTGCCATGGCCCTCCAACTTGAAAATATGTGTAGATGTGTGTGTGTGTGTAAGTATGGTTTGGATCGAACAGGCCAACGAGACATAAGTCGAGCGAGGCACACCTTAGTCGTGTAAAAGCCGCCTGTTGCGAGCACCTGTACATATGTATGTATGTATGTATGTATGCATGTATGTATAATATGCATGTAGAAAGAACATTGGCAATCCTGTCGGCTTCTCAAGATGGTTCTTCTCTTCGTCTTAAAGGCGGCCGGTCGATCATCATCGTCATAAATATTTTGCCCGTTAAATGACTACCGAGAGATATATCGTATACTCGTTCGTTCCTTCGTTCGTTCCTTCGTTCGTTCCTTCGTTCATTGGCCCAATTCTACGTAGCACAAAACGACGATACTAATTTCCTCGACATTCATTATGTCAGATTGCCAGACACTTCTTTTTGTCTCTTTTTTCTTTTCATTTTTATTTTTAATTTTATTTTTCCCTTACAGCTGATCAAAGCGGTTAAATTATTATCAGCACGAAATTGTCTCATGGTAATTTGCACACTATTTGTTTTTTTTTTAAATTTTCTTTCTTGTATATAAGAAAATTGTTTTAATCAAATATTTCGACTATCATCTAACTTTATTATTTTGTCCGAAGCTAAAGCTAAAGATCGTAAAGGTAAACTTTGGAAATGGGACATGAATAATAGGTACATGTGTATATGTGTGTATGTATAATATTATATATCATGTGAGATCGATGATAAGGTGTTCAGCGCTTTTGCGAATATATAGATATATAATATATATGCACCTAACATATATAACGTTGTAACGATGTTCACATGAAGACACGAGTTAAACCCATTGGAAGGGGTTAATAGCGAGTAGTAGATATGTGTATAATACTTTGCTGCCAAGCCTCTCTCTCTCTCTCTCTCTCTCTCTCTCTCTCTCTCTCTCTCTCTCTCTCTCTCTTACATACACAAGAAAGCGAGAAGATAATAAATGGCTCATTTTCTTTATGCATCGGTCCACCTCGTTGTCGTAGTTTTCGTCATTGCTGCACCAATTAAAATTGTTTTATCGAAAAAGTTACGTCCAGTGAAATTCAGGAAGAAAATTATTCCTTATTACGCACTTCCGCCGATCGTTTCTTTGAATGAAAGCATTTTGCTCAACATATCCTCAAATTTCATCGATTCATTATAATTAAATTTCGGTATGTTTTCTTTTTTGGTTTTTTGTTTTTTTTTTCATACAATGAAGCAAAATTGTCTGACGGACATATGAATTATGAAGAAAATCGGGACGCGAAGAAAGGTAAAAAGTAAGGTAAGAAAGTTTCAACAGAGAAAAGATCATGAATTTCTATTATTTCATCTAATGAACGCGAATGAAAAAGAAATCGACTGTGGTATTACGAGAAGGTGTCGTCTTCGCGGACAGGTGAAAAGTACAATGCCTGCTCGAGTTTCATACGAATAGCGTGAAACATGGAATTTCCAGTACGTGCATATGCACTAATATCATGTACCCACGGTTTTTCTTATCCTATCTATTTTTTTATTTATCGATTTATTTCTTCTTGAAATATCTAGTCTTTGCTTTCCTTTATTTCTTTTTTCATTAAAGATGTCACGCGGACATCTCGAACGAGTCGATGTTATATGCTGCATGGTATGGCGTTTAATGAGTCTCGCCTGACCCTGAAATCTACTTATCGAGAGAGAATATCGAGAACGCATTGGAAGTGAAGCCTCGAAATAAGAAAAAGAAAACGAGAAAGTATCTAACGATCGTTTAAATATGATTAAACATGATATTTAGGATCTTCATCTTGGATACGCCATACTTGAAATTGTAAAAATCTTCTCTGA